TCATGGGTATCGTAGCCCCATATTTCTCTTTCGAATGGTGAAAACCGCACCTCTCTATCTATCACCGTTCCGGAGCTATAAGGTCAACACTGACCGGCCATTCTATTTTGAAATGGATAGTAGATATTTCTCTATTATCAGAAGCTGAGACTTTCTTACACTTCTGCTTAGCACTAATCACACCAACATTTACTTGTACTGGTCGAACGGATATAATTCTGAAACCGTTTAAGTGGAACGGTTTCAAAATTATATTCGAATTGCTGGTCTAGGTTACGAAAAACATCAATAGGTTAGGTTATAGGTTGTCAAAAGTCATAACCTGCAGGACACAAGTAACAGTGTTCGGCCTTATCAGTACAAATATAAGAGATTTCAAGTATCCTCTTCACTTATCACTGTTGTCATCTTAAAATAGAGTGAAATGAATAAACTTATTGACATATACTTAATTATCGTGTCAGACGTACAACTTTATTTCTTTTCAATTAGATTTTTATGGTGGCTCCCTCCATTGCCATATTTCTTCGTCATATTTATTTACGATGAAGTACGAAAATACCTTATTCGGAAAAATCCTGGTGGTTGGGTTCAACGTGAAACATATTATTAACACAAAAATGTGTATTATCTAATAAATATAAGAAAATTGTTTTAGTATTTATTTCCATTTAATTAAGTTTTTTATTCTAAATAAATTATTGTTATTGTAGAATAGGATATTGTCTCGTTTCAAACTAAATATTTTCAAAGGAGATGTAGTTTATGCTTTTCTTTCAGAAATAAGGCATTTGATCACGAAAATTACCAGTAGACAAAGAAGAAGAATATGAATAAAATATATACAACAAGCAATTTAAGGCCCCATGGGTCAGAAGTTATCTCAGCCCAGGTAGGCCTGATCTGAACCAAATTTTCAGGGAATGTTGACCATGTCAAAGTATGATAACGAAACTTTTTTTTCGCACCACTAGCAATCGTTTGTGAGACTGCAGCACAACAAGGGGCAAAAATAGGCGTCTGCCAAGTACAAGAATTATCATTTCAGATAAATGATAGAGAGCTCGGGGCTGTTTTCTTTTGCAGTGCACACCTATGTCTAGAAGTTGACAAAGCCCGATTCTTGAATTTCTCATTTGCTGGTTTCTGGTGCTTAACAGATCTGTAAAGTCCGAACAATCTTTAGAAAGTTTCTTAGAATTCGGCATTTCTACAAAAAAAAATAGAAGCATAATTTAAAAATCGGACTCTGTCAACTCCTAGCTATAGGTGTTATCTACAAAGCAAAAAAAGCAATTTTCTTTCTCCGATGTATCCTGAATTCCTGTGCGTGGTGGAAGTTCCGAAGTTAAAACACAGCCTTGAGAAAAACGCAGAATAACTTTGATTCTGTTAAATGTGTTTTACTTAAAAACTGTTTGAGTGTTAAATAATTCGTTAATACTTTGCTATAGGTTATCGGTCATAGCGCATCTAATGAACATGTGCACGGATATGTGCGACACATGCATGCGCTTATGCAATAAAAGTGCTTTTATTTTATATTTTGCCATTTTTTGTTCCATAGGGGTTCTGGAAAACTCGTTCAGACCCTATGAAAAACCTATCCTATCGACACAAAAATTATACCATTAGAAAGTGGACGGAAACTATTACACACAGTTAAATCGTACAATGAAGTAAGTAAATTAACGTTAAAGTTGATCAAGTCAGTAACTTACGAGGGTCGAAAAGATAGATCGGAGATTTTTTCAGTGTTCAGTTTACGACACTGGTGTACTCAACGCAATGGCGGCACATTTCTATACATAACTCCCACTGATTCCAGACTACTATTCGGCACAATTATCCGAATTTTAAAGAAAAACAAGGACACTTTCTATACCCACTACATTTGAATGAATATTTTGTACGCTTTTTTAACATAAATCTGATCGACGACATTTAAACTGATTTTGCGCATTCTTTTGCTTCATTGTACGATCAAGCTGTATGTAATGGCTTTCATTCTTACTTCCACATTTTATTGATGGTACTGTGTACAGTCTAGGGACGTTATCTACAACTTTTGACAAAACCACTTTGATCAAAAGAGATCAAAGAAATTAAATTAAATTTCTGTTCTGTTCATATTTCTTGTTGTAAATATTTTATTCATATTCTTCTTGTCTATCTGCTGATAATTTGGGGATCAAAACACATTTTTCCCAATGAATCTGGCGATGAAAAATATTGATACCCTTTTCTTTCCCTCTTTGATCAAGTAATGAATTAGAGAGAAGAATTAACTGTTGTATATATCATTTTATCTTTTTCACTCTACTTTTGACTTTTCATGCTGAATAATTTTACTAATTTGACTGTCTGTAGAAAACAGGTCATCGCTGAAGCTCATACTTACAAAATGTACTCTAGACAGCAATGAGTTTTGCTTATGAACTATTGGTTTATTTCACGATTGTATCTATTGGGGTCTTGCTATTATAATGCAACACTACTATACCGTTGTGTTTATTTGTCAAATGTAAACATATAGCAGGTGTCAAAGCTGACCAGGACAAATCAAATTGTAGAAAAACAAAACTATTAAATTGCACAAAAGCAGAGTACTCAGACTAATACAGATACAATATTTTCTTGTTTTAATAATTGATCAGTAAAGTAATTGTAGAAGGTCTGTGGCTTAATTTAGGCAAGCATCAGTGTACGAAAAGAGAAGAAGTAAGTTTGGTTTCAAAATATCAAAAGAACATTTAAAATACTCGAATGAATTTTCGTAAGCAGCCAAAAATTAGATATTTTAAAAATATGTTGGTACTGTGACACTACTATCCATTTCAAAATAGAATGGCCGGTCAGTGTTGACCTTATAGCTCCGGAACGGTGATAGATAGAGAGGTGCGGTTTTCACCATTCGAAAGAGAAATATGGGGCTACGATACCCATGAAACAATAAGTTTACTTTTGTCGGATCTTCAAGGTTTTTGAGAGGATCTTTGGAAAACCAGCTCCGTTCTTAGAAAACTAACATACAATGTTAGTAATTTTTTTGCATGCGTAGATAGTTCGGACGTTACTCTACAAAATTATGCAAGTTTCGGCTCTCTAGCTATCGTCGTTCGGGCAGTTATTTGACCCAATAAGATTATGCTTTATTACTTAAAGTATTGGCGGTTTACATGTGGTCGTTCAGAACTGGTCGTATAGGTTAAAAACAGGTTATCAATACCGTAACCTACAATCGAAACTATAAAAAATCTCATAAGCTAAACCTAACTATAGGTTAGGTTAGGTTTAACCTGCAGGGCTCTAACTGTCACCTCTCACATGACTTGATGTTTTCTTATTGCCTTCAGCATTAATGATCAATAGAAAATGATTTTTTACAATTCTTTGCTTCGTTTTATAAGCAGAAGAAAACAAATCGACTCTTTAGAAACGATACTCACTTAAGTGGATAAGTATTGAGGGCCGTATCCAAATATGGTGTATAAGATATGATAATAGCCAGTATAGTTTCGAATACCAACCCAAAGTTAAGCATCCAATTACTATAAATGAGGAAAAAAACAGATTTAATATATTACCAGTGCACAGATGAAAGAAACCGTGTTCTAAACTAGTTATTATTTTAAAATACCGTTAATTTTTTTCATATGTTACACCTAATTACTCTTTCGAAAGGAATCTACTTCGAATAGAAATATTTTATGATCGTCCCGAAATTCGAGCTCCAAAAAGATCGTACTGGTTTTTGACTCATCAGTTGCGGTCTTCGCATTTATTTTAACCATTTTCAATATATAGCTTACGTCATTCCTTGCTGAAAAATAGAGTTTTTTCTTGTTTTACAAATAATTAACACCGCCCACTGACAAATGACAATGGTAATAAAGAATGCCGTATGGCAAGTAAATTCAAGTTGTTTCCGTTGTTCATAGGTCTGAAAAACTGAAAAATATATCAGCTCGTTAATAGAGAAAATCTTTAATTTAACCTACCCATTCTTGTCCATATGAATCTTGCAAGTCGTTGATATGTTTTGCCTCCCATGATTTTCTTAAACCTAAGAGACGACTAGGTAGAAAACCATTCTCAGCCATTATAACGAGATAGGTAAAAAAGCCGGCTGATGCTTGAATCGGACCAATCTGGCCATAGGCCATCGATATTAAGCTAAAGATAGATATTAGTAATTAGACGTTCGAAATCGGCGACATAACACTAGCACAAGATGAAAAAAGTGGCGTCATATGATCAAGAACATCGTACCGTTCGTTTACAAGTCGATCTCTTAGTGGATCTCTTGGTAGTCGTTTCATAATATCTGATTCAGCTTTTTCATAGGCAAGTGATATAGCTGGTACCATGTCTGTTCCCAAATCAATGCATAAAATGGTTATTGTACCTAATGCTAGAGGTGTGTCAGTAATTAAATACATAAGAAATGGTGTGATCTCGGGAATGTTTGATGTTAAAGTATAAGCAATCGATTTCTTTAAATTATCGAATATCAATCGACCTTCTTCGACACCCGTGACAATCGAAGCAAAATTATCGTCTAACAATATCATATCGGCAGCTTGTTTACTAACATCACTTCCAGCAATGCCTGAGGAAAAGAAAAGAATCATTAATCATAACTAAAATGAATAGACAGGGACCACTAACCCATGGCAACTCCAATGTCAGCTTTTTTCAATGCTGGCGAATCATTAACACCATCACCTGTAACAGCCACAATAGCACCTAGACGTTGACATCCTTCGACAATAAGCAATTTTTGTTGCGGACTTGTTCGCGCAAATACAATTTCTGAATGAGTAGCTAATACATGATCTAATTGATTACTGTCCATACTTTTGAGATCACTTCCGTGCACTACACATGCTTTAGCTGCAGATGGATCTACTTGATCAGCAGGTAAATGAAGACGAGTTGCAATATCATCGACTGTTTCGCACTCTTCCGATATGATACCAACCGCACGAGCAATCGCTTTTGCCGTTATTGGATGATCTAAATAATAACAGCGAATAATTTATCGATCAATTCGAAACACATATAAGATACTCATGTGGACGTTTAACCAAAAAGAGAAGATGTTCCGTTTCCAATTTCACAATCCGATGTAGTAAACTGTCTCATTCTGACAAATATAGTAAAAAGCGACAGATATAAGGAAATTTATTTTTCAAGTGATATGATTTCAAAAGTAAATCATAATGTATTCGATGGTTTGTTCAGAAAAAACGATCGAGGAGAGATATTCTGAAAAGATTTTCCTGATTTACATGTATGAATTTTTACACTTTTTACAAACTCAATGTGATGCAAATTTTACAAAAAATTGTTTTATGAATAGTACGGCTACTAAAAAAACTAGCATAGCTTAAACATTGCTGAACCACACAAGAGAGAATTGAGATTAAACTCATAATAAGAAGATTGTGCTCGATCTCAGTTTCGACGTATCACTTTCCATTTGAAAATATAGTGTTTAAGATAAGTTTGTAAGAGTCTGAGAGAACTCTTATAAGAAATTACAAAAGTTCCTCAACGAGGCAATAACTTATTTCTGACTGTTTTGAATGAAAACTAAAAAGAAATTCACTCAAAGCCAATTCAGACCACTTGAAAATCTTAAGATAAACTCTATTTTATCTGTACAATACCCTGTAACTCAACAAAAGTTTTGAAAAGAATAGAAAACACTTTAGTTTTGAAAATGTTTTCTTGAACTCTTTCTGAGTGAGAGAATAGTTTTTCAAGGGCAGAATTAGATATAGAAAAAATAGAGCTTTATCGTGATGTTTTGAAATAGTCTAGATCGGTTTTGAATGAAGTATCAATTTTGTAATTTTCTGGGACAACCGTTAGAAATGAATTATCTTACATTATATCGGTTTTTTGAATTTCCATAGGAAAATAAGTATTGCCACAAATTCAGAATGGTCGATAACCTATGTCTCAAATTATTTTCATGGTTTTCACGTAATCTTTCCCCTTGCCGAATCTCGAAAGCTGATGCCCTTATTCTTGCGCGAATCGATAGAGGACACTCTAAACTATCGTTCGTATATTTTAGAGATTGAATTCGCTATAAAAACTGTCGGTGGCGCCCTTATAAAAGAAGCTGTACAAGGTATACCGTCTCTAAATGGGGTTTTCAAAGTTCTTTTTCTCTAGATAGATTTCCCACGTGTTTATTTTCAGTAACTGAATAGGTTTCTACCAGAGGTAAAATATCGGTCAACACTATAGTTTGAAATGGAAAGTATAGTGTCTGTAGAAGAGGATACTGTAGTTATTTAGTGTAGAAGACGTTTAAAATGGTCATGTCTTCGCGCTTTTTATTAACAAGAAGAAAACGAACATAAAACTTTAACATGCTGCATTATCCTTGCCTAAATAAAGAAAACTTTTTTTACTGAGAAAGATTTACAAAACTGCCCTATGTCTACAGTGACTACTCGATGTTTTTATTTAACTAAAGAGCTCGTTCATTAACGAGTACGTAAAAAAAGTTAGTGTCGATTTTTCAATGAATAGAACTAGTTTTGGATTTTAGATATTTTTTCATTTAACGATAAATGAGAAAAACATACACTGCATTCCTTAAATGCATCTGCATCCTTTCTATCAATAAAATGAATAGCGCCATAAAATTCAGAGAAGCCAATAACCTATATTTCTATTTGTTTCCACTCATGAAAACTACAAAATATACGATCTTCGACGTGTGTGGAAATATCTACAAGAAATCGAAACGAAGAAAACAGTGTTGGACTAATTATAAATAGCAATAATTTAAGTATATTAGGATACCTAGTTTACCTGTTAAACCAAAATAATCAATTCTAGATCTAGATGGTTTTATCAGAAATACTTCGTTTTTTAAGGAATCTGTGAAAACAAATGGTTAACTTTTCTTTTTAATTCAACATCAGAAAGAGTTCTTCCGAAATCTACAAGAAGGTTCTTTTATGTATAATTACTGTTCATAAATCACTTTTCAATATGGTAGATGCCTATGTTCTCTGCTGAAATATATCTAATGAAAAACTACACTTACCACCCGTGACCATGATGACTTTGATGCCAGCTGAACGACACTTAGCAACACTAAAGTAATGAAAAAATCATTTTAGATTGAAAGAAATAGAGTCAAAAAGTGAAAAACTTAATCAGGGTATCATTGTTTCAATTATTTTGAAATTTGGCGCCGTCGAAGTTAGCGAAACACAATAAAACTTTTCGAGGGGTTCGCTTACTCTGTTTAGCTTTTGAGTAAATGTTTCTGGTAAAAAAAATGACACCATTGTAGTAACTGTCGATCCGGTTAATTTTTATCAAAATTATTTTTTAATTTTGGTTATCGTGTATGTCATGTCAAATCAGAATATGAATCAGCAACTCAATCGAATCAATGTAGTATATTTTGCCACGTGTTCGCTGCAAAAGGTAAACTTTCGATCTTATCTGACCACATCCTTTGAAAAAGGAGACTTCAGTTACCGAGAAAAAGTGGCTTCCACGTGTCTAGAGTGCACCTTCGACATAACATCGTCTTCCATATGTCTTTAACGTGTCGACAGGTATGCACACAGAAGTTATATGAAAGGCGTTTCAACGAGGAAGCCGCGTAATAGTCACATCTTCATCGATGACTTGAAAATACCGATTGGTACCGCTTGATGAATGTTTCATTGAAGACCGAGTCTGTATTCAGGTGGCTAAGAAGAGGAAGTGGCAGAGACTGTCAACTTTAGCGTATAAGACAAGAAGGTTATCAGAAAAAACGCAAAAAAAAGTATTCTTTACTTCTTCTACTGGCTTCCTTATGTCTCTACTGTAGATTCTTAACAAAAGTCTTGCATAAAAAAGTCAACCTGAGAGGGTAGTAAAACTAATAATTAATGCGATTGTATAATTCTGCGGTGGACATATCCGTTCGGTGACAAAATAGATCAATTTCAACTCTTATATAAACGAAAAATATTTGTTAATGTGTCTTTTTCAGAAGATGCATCAAAGAGACTGCGAAAGAGACGCCCAAAACCGACTAAATGGGAACTGACTCAAATGTCTTTTATGCGAATTAAAAGATGTGCGACTATTACTAGTAGCCTTATGCAGTGGCGTAACTAGGAATTTTTTACCATTAGGCCAACTCGGCTGAGCCATACCATAATAATTTGAGAAAACACTGGACCAAAAAACCTTTCTTCAAATTTTCGACAAAGTTCAAAATTTTATTGGGCTATGGCCCAATGCCCCCTTCCTATAGTTACGCCATTGGTCGTTTGATGTACTTTTAAAACAGATGTAATAATGTGGCTAAATGAGAACGAACTTTGGCGTCTTAGTTTTTCTAGGGTAACTCTTGTCCAATTGTGCCTGTATTGAGTTTCTGGATGGGTTTTTAGAAGTCTTCTCTCCATACGTCTATCATGAATCTGAGAATCAAAAGAGTCTGATCTAGCCAGTGTATAGAGCTTATCGAGTTTCTCTGTGGAAAAGGTCTACCACTATCAAACACGTTTAAGTGCAGCGAAATATATGACTTTTTCAGATTGTTTGGTAGTGGACTTTTCCACAGAGGTAACTCGATGAGCTCTATACACTGGCTAGATCAGACTCTCTTGATTTTCAGATTCATGATAGATGTACGAAGAATGTGCGAAGAATAGACTTCTAAACACCAATCCAAAAACTCAATACAGGCACGATTGGATATCAATTCGTACCTAGCATCAAGTTACTTTAGAAAAAATTCAATGCTGCACGAATCTTGTTTTAAGCTTTACGAAATAAAACTTTTAGCTTGATGAACAGTGTTAGATCTGAGACAAGTTTAGTGTGTAAATAACTGACTATACTCGGCTCCATATTGTTCGGTATTGTCTATTCATAGTTTCATCGCATCAGAAATATTATAGATGTACGAAGAATGATGAGAACGCACACAATAAAAGAGAAAGAATCTTTTGCGTGTTAATGGTTTTACTACTAATCATTGTTGTTTCACGATCATTATGGTGTATAGCAGCAAACAAAAAGCTCGAATAATTCGAGCAGCAGTATAAAAACGAGAACATTTCTGATACTTCAAAATATGACAATCAACGTTCAGAAGATGACGCACTATAACAGAGTTGATATCAACAAATAGTATATCAATGATGCTTCTGATCCTATAATATTATATTGGCGAACGCTATACAGTTGTGTTAAAGTATTTGATTTCTTTTTGCTTACGCTTCTGGTACAGCTGCTCTTGGTGGATCAATCATCGACATTAGACCGAGAAATCTCAATTTATCAACTTGGAAATTGACATCACTATCGTTAAACTCGAAACCTTTTGGATATTCCGACATCGGTAGCCGATAATCGCAAAAACCTAACACACGTTCACCTAAACCACCTAAGTCCGTGTAAGCCCGATTAAATTCACCATTCCAGTCTAAACAGATAAGGAAGATGAGTCTAGAAAGTAAAGTTAGTCATTTTATGGCATACATTCATTCAATTGAATATCAGTTCCATCAACATAGATCGTTGAACATCGTTCGAAAATCCGTTCAGGTGCTCCTTTCATAACAAGCAAATATCGATCATCATCATCGTTTGTCTCGTGAATTGATACCTGATATTTATTCGTGGAATTAAACTAATAACGAAGAAACGTCATGAATTTAAATAATAGAATAAAACTACTATTAAAGAAACATCACATTTGTGAGTGTTGACCGAAACGTTTTTAGATAGTTAAATTTTATCTTTCTTGTAGGTTGTACGAGTACGCCTTCGTTCCTAGAAAATTTTTTATTCTGATTTTTGTGACAGTGTGTCAGAATGCATTAAGGTTTCCGAAAATATGATTTTTTGCAAAATCTGTACTAGAGATACGATAAAGCTTGATGTAGCAAAATAGGCAATGAAAAACTGTACTATGACTCGTTCTTAGTAATCAGAACATAGCAAAAAAACTTTCGTTGATCAACTCGCATCCGGACGAGATTCAAAACATCGGAACGAGTTCCCGCGACAAATTAAAAACACCTGGGGCAGATTTCGCTTAAAATTGGCCTCTGTCCACCGGTGAGATAATGCATAGTTATTGTGAAAATGCTGAATTGAAATTACGGCAAGAATTTCATAGCACGGAAAGATCCTTTATGTCGTGGTAAGCTTTTATTTGTCCACATATATTGTTCATAAAACAAATATTTTACTCGTTACTTGTCATACTTACTGGTATTTCGCACACTTTGGGATTTTTTTCTCGAAATTTGATAACATTACCAATCTGAAAATATAATTGTCATATATTAAACTGATAGTTTTTCCTCTAGATTGTCTTACTGATAATTCAACACATTTCAATAATGCTGACTCAGAGGCATCGCCATTACATTCCCGCTGTAATACAGGCTGCTTTAAATTTTCTGGTGTTTGCTTGAAATCAGCACGATTACATAACATAGCACATCGTGATAAAGATAACCAGCCTTGTGAAGTTTTATCGTATGTTTGATCTAAGACAGATTGTTGAATTAAATTTAAGCACTGAAAGCCGCTATACCACTTACTCTGTTGATTCTCTATTGTATCTGCTTCAACAATACGATTATCGAACCACATATGAGCGACCGTCATTCGATTTTGTGTTAATGTTCCTGTTTTGTCCGAACAAATTGTTGATGTTGACCCCAACGTTTCGACAGCTTCTAGATTCTTAACTAAACAATTTTTCTTTGCCATTCGCTTGGCCGTCAACGTTAAACATACCTACGCAAGCGAGAATTGTTTACTGTTTTTAGTCACTCCAAATGTTGTACTTACGGTGACAGTTGCAAGTAAACCTTCTGGCACATTGGCGACAATAATTCCAATTAGAAAAATAACGGCTTCTAACCACGGATAACCGAGAGCAAAAGCAATGATAAAAAATGAAACACCCAAAAACACGGCAACACCCGTTATGATATGAATAAAATGACCAATTTCACGTGCAATCGGAGTCTGACCAGTTTCAAGACCTTAAATTACGGAACAAGTTTCAGATTAAGAACGCTTTTCTATATATACACCGTTCACCTGATGCAAGATTTGCTATTCGTCCCATTACAGATCTATCACCAGTACGTACAACAATACCGTCGGCATTACCTGAAAAAAATTAAATTTGAATGTTTTTCATTAAAAAGCTTAGTCATGTGTCAAAAATTACCTTCAACAGCGAATGTGCTTAAAAATGCTAAATTTTTTGTTTCTAACGCATTCAAGCTTGTATACTCCGATGAACGTGATTGAGGTTCACTTTCACCAGTTAACGATGAATTGTCAACTTTGAAACCGTGAGAGTCCAATATTCGAATATCAGCTTAAAAAGCAAAATAGAAAACATTCTTGATCACGTTGTGAAACTATGTCTTATAAACTTTCGTCTCATTTTCCAATACGACTGTTTAGCATTTTCGTATGAGCCATCTCTCTGTTTCTGCTCGTTTGAATTACAAATCGATATTTTACCTGGTACTCTATCTCCAAACTTCACACTAACAAGATCTCCAACAACTAACTCTTCTGCTTTTATATTTTGTTTTTTTCCATCTCGTATGGCAAGTGCTTGCTATAATAAAAAAATTTAAAAACATACAAATAATAAGTTATACACAGAATTAACGCCATACTTGTGGAACCCTAAAGTGGATAGAAAGTACATAAGTTTAGCTAAACTGTTCAGTATTTTTCAACCTACATATTTTTGAATGAATCCATAATTCTTGAGCTTTTTGCTTCTTGATAATATGAAAAACAGCCAGTTACGATTACGACGACAGTTAATGCAATACCGAGCCAAAGCTAAATACAAAAAACTTTTCAATAAGTTGTTCACATTATTGTCGTGTAATAATAAGACCAATAGAATACTACTAGTCATACCAAAAAGCAGTACGTACACCTGTTTTTGTAATAATTTTGAGCTCGAGAGCTCTCATTTTCACCGTTCGAAAGAGGAGATTTGGAAGCATGTTTCCATAAGTAGACATTTTCTCGAACGCTTTTCAGGTGATCTCTGTAAACCCTGACTGTATGTCAATAAATTTTAAGTAGGATTTTCATCTTGATTTTTAGTTGTTTGGGAATGATATCGAATGTACTTTGGTACTCTACGGAAATGGGTGGGTTATAGTGGATCAATCAAGATGAGTTTCGTGCAATATTTGTGTTCAGAAAAGAATTTTATAACCTACCAAAAACTGCATTTTTCAGAAATTGGGTTTTTTTTGACTGTTTTCATCTAATATTGAAACATTCACTATTTACTCAGAATACATGAGAATGAATTGAAAACTCCATGATGTCCAGTATTTAGGCCATATTATATTCTATTTATAAGAAATATTACAAGGAATTTAAAGAATCCATGATTTTTCGAAACGATTTCTAGAGTGCTTTGGGTAATATAGTTTTTCAATTTTTTCAATATTATAATCTTATCTAGCGGAATAATTAACCCTATTCTGAAATTTTGGAGTCGATCTAATGTATTTTGAGTGAATCGTGAATGTTTTAATATTAGATGAAAACAGCCAGAAAATCCTAATTTTCGAAAAATCAGAAGCTTTTTTTGAACTGCTTTCTATCAGAAGTTATTACAAATAGCCACGCGCACTGCTTTTTGATATAGATATTATTTAATAGCTGTTACGTACATTATCATTTGGTGGTTCTTCATATGTCGCTACAGTAATACCATGTGCGAAAAAGCATAAAATAGCTCCCACCCACAATAGAAAAGCAAAACCACCAAACATTTGCTTGCAAAATTTAAGCCATTCAGGTGTTGTTTTCGGTGGTGATAATGCATTTGGGCCATCTCGTTCCAAAATTGCTTCTGCTGCTGCAGTACTTAAACCCTAAATAAAAAAATTCTTCAAAAAATGTTAAAAATAAATGAGACCTGAAAATTGACTCACATTTTGAGGATGCGTCCCATATCTCCGAAATAACTCTTCGATAGTTACTTTGTGATCGTCCTTGAAAAAGAAGAAAATACAATATAAATATTTTACCAGATAGTCTACAAGTATCAAGGGATAAACCTTACTAAGGCCTTCGATCTCGAATAGTAATAAAGTGATATTCAAAATTTACATCTTTTCTTTCTAATTTCATTTTTCTACTATAGCGCTATTTAAGGTGCCGGCAATTCAGAAATCACCTATATAGTTACCTATATTCGTACTTTTGAACTAAACTGGGGCTCGATGGTGGTACTGTTTTGAGAAAAAAAGTGATTTATACTTTTTCTCGCAAATTTATGACGGGTGGGTAAACACAGTGTCTCATCTTTTAACGAAAAAACTAGTTAGATTTCAAAATGTCCCGTGAGTTATTCAATGTTCGGTTGGTCATTATAAGTCCTAATTATGTCAAATACATTTTTGTATCCTCACGAGAGAACCTCTCGAGGTTCCCTCGCTTTTTGCTTGAAATCTAGTGAGTTATAGGTTATCGACCATGCTGATTCCGAATATGACCATGGGAGTTGCTCTTAGACCTTTGAAGATCCGGTTTTATGGAAAACTGGTTTTTCAGAAACTCTAAATAACAGCCAAAATTTTCCTTAATGAGAAAAGATTACAGCCCGCACATTTCTGATTAAAATGAGATATCTTCCAC